AAAAAAAAAAAAAAAAAAAAAAAACAAAAAGAAGAAAATGAGGTTCAGTTTGGTGTTGTTGCCAAGACCTAATTTGTTCAATTTTAAGTTCTATAGGGCAACAGTTAAGTTATGAGAAACCGATATGCACATTATCATCACAGAATGCTGAAGATAATATTTGGTAAAAATCTATAAATGAGAATTAGAACGATCAGAGCGACAGGAGAGGGGTGAACAATATGAGCTGCTTCACTGAGACTTGCTGTAGCCAGATCTTGATTGCACATATCACCTTTACAGGCACAAAATAACTGTTCTTCTTCATTATCCATCCATGTATGTGTGCAGCCTAACTGTACCTGAAAAAAAAAAAGCCTTGTACAGCACAGATTTAAACAGTCTGGGCAATAGCACTACGTTGAAGTATATATGGAAACAACTTTTTATTGGCATTTAAAAGTGAAATATTGCAAAGTGGTATACATTTTCGCTATCGGTTACATTGATGCAACCTTGACGTTCACTCATTGCCGGTGTACTATACCGTTTACCGGTGATCACAGAACGTTGTGTAGCGTATGTACAAAAATGTCCAATGCATGTATCCTGTTTGCAGGATGCAGATGTAGCCATATTGTGTGTAGTGATTTCGCAACTGACACACTGATGTAAAGCTAATTCATTACCCCTAAAAACTTTTTTATCAATACTTACACCACAGTTAATTGATGTTGTTGTTTTGACAGTTTCTTTTCTTTTTTTTGTAGTCTCTTTCGGTTTTTACTGTACAGGTTAAAATGATAAAATTTGAAGTCAGAAAATGTAGTAGAAAAAAGCGTCGAAAATGATTATAAGAGATTTTTCAAATGCTCAGTTTAAAATTATGCTGAAAATGTGTTGACTGCCTAACCTGTACGTATCAAGGCTCATGTATAATCTACCAATGTGAAAATAGATTTAATTTCAATTTTCAGTCTGTAAAAGAAATAATTTCGCCAGAAAAAAAAGACATACGTATGAGCGTTGAATCGAAATGCGTTAAAATCACCAGCAATTTTTTCCCATGGCTGATATCTTCGATTTAGGTCGTTACAATTATTTGTTTTACAAACGCAGTGTCTATGAGCTTTGCCTGTTCCTCTGAGAAAATAATATAAAATTATACGATTATTTCAAGCTGATTATTGTATTTTACAAGTTTATAGTATTTTCTCTTTTTTAAAAGTAAAGTAGCTGTAGAAAATTGGCGTTTAAGCTGTGCTCTAGTTTTTCCAAAGTTATATTTTAACAATTTTTTTAGTTAAAGCAATATTTTTGTTGTTGTTGTTATTGTTTTATATTCGAACAGTAGTGCTGCCTAAGAAAGACTAGAATTTTTGGCTTTTAACTGTGTAAAATTTTTTTTTCGCTTCTCTCTCTGTGTTTAATAAATCAAAAGGGTTTTCAAATCAGTGACTTATCGGTTCTAACAAGTTCACAGTTAACAACAACAAACTGTAATGAATGTCGATGTCAAAAGAGAAGAAAAACCGATAAAAGAGTAAAGCAAATTGTAGTAGACTAAAGAAAAAGAAAATAAATTTTGTTGAAGAAAAAAGCTTTTTTTAATCTGTTGTCTGGTAGGTGCTTTCGGTTTCGCTATCCGAATATAGGGAAGTGCAACAAAACAAAACAAAACTAATAAAGAAATGCATTTATCTTTTTTATTGCCTTGTTACCATGTTCTTAATATAGTTCTCAAGGTTAAATTTATAGTTTATAAACTTAGTTACTGATTAAAACCAATAATTTATCAATTTTTTCAAATAAGATTGGGTCATTTGGTGTTAAAAAAAGATAACAGGTTTTTTTAAAAAAAAAACTATTTCAAAATTAAAAATTGAAGAAAAAATTGACAGTAAAACCTATCAAATATCAAGTTGTAAAAAAAATAAAAATTTGCAGTGTGTAATACCTGTAAAAACGCTACATTTGTTTATTTGTTTCTTTTGCAAAGGTATGCAAAAAAAATTTCCAGATTCTTGCCAAACTGTAGGTTATCTGTTATATTAGAAAAATTTTACTAAATTCTCTGCCGTTCCGCAAACATAGATGCCCCAAAAATTGATTAGTAGGCATGAAAAAAAAAACAGCTGAAACTATATCAAAGCTTGTATACCTGCTAATCGAAATGCAGATCCGGCTTCTGTGTGCCAACAGATCAAGACTCTTATAAAAAAATGGTAATGCTGGAGGTCCATAACCGCAACCAGCTGATCCTTAAAAAAAAAGTGAACCCAATTCTAAGAAATAAAAAAAAATAAACCGAACCTTATCATGAAAATCAAGCTTCTGAACTTCAGATATCTTAACTGCTTTTGAAGTGTTGTTGAACAGTAAACGGAGTCTAATGCAGATAAACTATTTTAACAGTCAATTAAAATTGCAAGGAAATTGACCTCTTAACTATTCCATTAATATTTTAACCGTTCAGAACTTTTTTATAAAACATTAGTTTGTAAAACTATGCAAATAGAATAGATCGGAAGTTCTTTGACATTTTTTCTCAGTTTTTCTTCCCGTTTTTTTATCATCCGTTACAACTCTCTTATACTAACATTACAAACAGAAGCAGCTGAATTATACTAGGATAACAGCGCTAACTGATCGACGTCTAATATTCGATTGGCGTCTAATAGCTATCAGACTAACACTTACCACATAACGGTTTTGGTCATGCAGTTAGTGGAACACAGTAGTATATACCGCAAAAATATCATATTTAATGTGTCCATAAAACAAACCTGTCGTAGTATCTTCATGGCACCACTGTCCCTGACAGGTATCACCACAGTCCGGATCTCGTTCGGGACATTTTCTGCATGTAACATTACGTCTTGTAACTGGTCGAAAATATATGGCATCATTGCAAAAGCGACCTATAACTGCCAATTGGTTGGGCTTTGAACATAAAGTAAAAATAAAAAAAAGCAAACTTTCTCTCAATTTCAAGTCTTATGTTTTTTTTTTTCGCTTTATTTTCTTTCATTTGTTACGAAAAAGAAGTGATTTTTTTACGTTTTGATTTTAGGTCAAAAAAAAGATTAAATCATTGAACATAATTGTATTTCTATTTGAAAAAAAAAAAAAGACTTAGACAATTTCCCATAATCATACAATTTTTTTGATGCAAAAAGAAATTTTTTTTTTCTATTTGCCAATCAAGAAAAAATAATTGACTTTCTGAAACATTTGTCAATTTGTACAAATTGTTTTTGCTTCGTAATGTTAATTTATGAAAATTATATTTAATAGGTTTTTTTTTGCTTGTTTGCTTTGTTTAGCTATCTATTTTTTTGTTCTCTTTTTTTAGAAGTATACATATCTTTTCTACTGTGCTCTACGCATAACTTTATCCGATACACGAAACTTCGGTTTGCGCTCCTGTCGACTGAGTACAGCCGTTAGGAGGGTGTTCAACAGAAGACTTAATGATAGATTCAAATGTTTTAGTGCCATACAAGCGTAGTTGAACAGATCTCAGTATGCGGAAAAATGCAACTTTAACTGCAAAAAAAAAAAATAACTTCTTCTTTGCAAGTTCTTCAAAATCAAGCCAAAAATATGTTATGTTAAAACAACAACAAAATTGTGCTGCTGATCTTGCTGCTCTTATTCTAAAACTTTTAATTGATGTATCAAAAACAGTTAAAGCAATAAATGTCAATTTTTTGATCGAATAATTGGAACGAAAGTAAACGGGGTCAAAATAAGACAAAAACAAGAATGAATGTCGTTGTCAGATACTGTTGTTGGCATACGGTCAGCAAAAACCTATTTGCTGGCCATTGCAAAATGCACTGTTCATTAGTTTTGGTCAATCTATTTTTCAGCAACAGTTTGCTGCACCCAATGAATTAAACGATTAAAAGAGTCCTGCATACAAAAAAAAGCTTGTAATTGTTCCTCGTATATTTATACACTATGTTTTTATACTTTTTCTTAATTTTTTGATTGTTTTTTTATGTAAAATAACTTCTTATTTTCAAGTACTGCTTTGCTGAACTCTAAAATTTCGATTGAACATAGTAATTACTTATATTTTGTCCTTTTTTTTTGTTTTTAATCAAGAAATTCAAAACAGAAACTCATTGAAGCTTTCGATGGTTATGCACTCTAAAAACGACAAATATCTTTGTTGTACCCAAATAAGGTTTTATATTTTTTGCTTAACGGCACCCAACAACACAGCCAAAAGGCAACAGCAACAGCAACGACGACAGAAACAACAATGTTGCGTGCACGAAAACTGCATTATTAATGCTTGCCTGTTTTTCTATTCACCATACATACATGCTTTTTTTTTTATTTTCAGATCTTGAATTTTTCTTCTTTTTTACTTTTTTTTTCTTTGCTTAGAACATACGGGGTTGCAGTTACGAATTCCGGTAAATAATAAGTTCAAAAAAAAGTTTCAAAATACTTCTCAAATATTCCAAAGTTTTCATTCAGCTTCATCCCCACTATCTTTTCTTCCTCTCTTTCTTTTTTTGACTTATCAGATATTAAAAGTTGTTTGAGTGTCGACGATGCGGTAGCATGTGCAAAAGAAGAAACCAAAGAAAATAAAAACAACTCTAGGATTGTATGTTTACAGAAAGATATAACTTCATATCTCAGTGTCATCACCATCAGTTTTATCAGGTTTGTCAACAGCTTTAAAATGTTACAGAAACGACGGCTTTTGACTGTTTCTGTAACATTAAAAAAGAAAAAAATACACTTTTTCGCCTAACACTTTTCCGCCCCTCAGTTTACACCAATTGATCAACCTCAGAATGCCAGCTGACCTTTGTCTCAGTTTTTGCCTACCAATACTAGCATTTTTATTCACAACTCTTACCCCATACAATCATCTACCAAAACAAGGAAAAAAGGAGCAATATATTGAGCTCTGTGTTATTGCGCAAATCTACACTGATTTTATAAAATAAGTTACTATTTTGCCAGATTCAGATCACACAGAATGTTTGCTCAACTTTCTTTTGATTGTGGCTTTAAAAAATTGAAAATACAGACCATAACAGACGCAGAGAATATGATCCTGAAAATAGTCGTAGTCACAACCCAACAGTTTTCTTGGAGGTCTCCTAACACAGCCTTTAGTTATCCGGTATTTGCCATAACCATCAGCCGGTTTTCGTTCAATGTAACAGTAATCAGCCTCGCATGAACCCATCTAAGCACACAACTATTAAAAATGTTGAAGGAATTAATTCAAAATTTGATTAAAAAATAAAGAAGAATAAAACGACACTGACAACAACAACAAAGAGAAGAACTTTCCGACGTACTGTCGTTGTTTTAAAGCAACCAGATTAGAAGATGTGAGGTTCTTTCATAACTAACCAGACAACAAATTTTGGGAAGGCTTCCGTTTGAAACAACAATGAAATAACTTAACTGCGATGAAGCGACAAAAACAGAAAAAAAAGCAGAATTTGTGGCTGACTATTTTGCAGACTGTCCAAAAAATCTGAGCACCAAACAGGCAATTCGCTCTAAGCAGAAAAAAGTTTTTTTTTTTGTTTTTTTCTTTTCCAATTTCTTTTTTAGCTTTTTTTAAATTCGTATTAAACTCTAATAATTAATGTCTGAATCTGTAAGCAGGAGAAAAGTTTCGTTTTTTTTTTATTCTGTCTTAATAAAAATTTATTCAAAAGCATCAAAAAAATTTCCTCTTTTAAGCCAAATATATCTCAGCAATTACGAAGATATATGTATCTTCGTTTAGGGGTTGTTCCATAAAAATTGCGATTCATTTGAATGTCCCGCAATATATTCATTCACAAATTGCAAAAAAGCCTATACCACTTATTCCCTTCAATGGACATCATTTCGTTTAGCAAATCTTCAGAAAACTGCTACACAAAAGAATCAATGCCTGCCTTCTTATGTACTCTCTTCCACCCTCAGCAACCCCATTCCCGACTCTTCTTGAGTCTTTTTTTTTTTTTATTTGATTTGATTGTTCGATTGCCACATTGTTGTTTGTTGTTCTAAAAGGGAAAAGCATTTTTTTATTTAGATCCTGTCAATTAAGAAATCTTAATAATTAGGAAAGCAAAACATAAAAATCAAAAAAAAAAAGAGAGGAGGATATGAACAAGGTAATTCGATCAGTTTCGACTCAGACAAATACGATATGTTGTTCAATGAAGAAAATTATTTTTTACGTTCTGTATTTGTAAATTCCGAATGACACATTCGACAGGGCTGATAAAACTTGAAGACGGTTGAACAACTTTAAGCTTATATGCTTAAACTATACCAAAATTGGTTGCACTTAATGCCATTTTCTCTTTGTTTTTTGCAGCTAAATCGATTTGACTTTAGACCAGAGTAGGTAATCTAGTAAGAATACTGACTTGACAGTTGCAAGGCTCATTGTAACAGTATCCAGCACAGGAGTAGCACATTTTTTGCTCGCTGATTCGTATCCAATGTAACAACAGCAGCATACAGATGCAGACAAACCGCATTTCAACCTCCGTGCATTGCTTAACGCTAAAAAAGAAGAAGGTGAAAAAAATACGGCACAAGTTTATTCCTCTACTTTCTTTTCCCAGCTATAAAGCATGAAAAGAAAAAAAATTTTGAAATTGAACAGTGAATCATAAAACTTAAATGACGCACAAAAACGTGCACATAAATTCTTTGCTGGAAATATTGAAAATTTATCATCAAAATTAGCATTGATAATAGTAAACACTAATAGAAGCAGTAATAGTAGTAGTAGTAGTAATAATAATAATAGTAACAGCGATAATAACAACAATAAAATAGAATAACAATAAGAGCAACATTGCTTATTTTAATTCCGCATAAATATTTTGTCCAAAATAATTCATTGAACAATGATCGGCTAATGGATGAACAAAAGTTGAGTTTATCTTTGACTGTTTTTGCAACATGATTAATGAGCTCAACTACGGTCTACAGACAGCCATTGTTACGTTGATAAATTGATCTCTCAAGCACAAAACTACTACCGCCTACATTTTTATTATTACAATGAAACATAGATACGAAGCATTAGCAAAAAAAAAAATCGACAACAATTTCATCGAATTTAAAACATAAATTACAAAGAAATAAAAACAAATTTTTTTTTTCTGATTAGAACGTATCTAAATGATTTTTGAGTTTAAGAAAAAAGTACAACGAGAGCAAAAAAAAAAAAAAA